GCGCCGTCTCAGCGCCCTCCCGCGGCTCCAGCGCCCGCCCAGTGCCCCCTCCGCCTCGACCACTTCATTTCGGCACCGCACCCCCTCTCCCCGCTCCGCCCCCTCCCCCGCGCCGTCTCAGCGCTCCCCCGCGGCTCCGGCGCCCGCCCAGCGCCCCCTCCGCCCCTACCATTTTATTTCGGCACCGCACCCCCCTCCCCGCTCCGCCCCCTCCCCCGCGCCGTCTCAGCGCCCCCCCGCGGCTCCAGCGCCCGCCCAGTGCCCCCTCCTCTCCCTCACTCCTCTTGTCCCTCTCACCACTCCCGCTCAGCCCTCCCCCTTTCGCCCTCCCTGCCCGTGCCCTCTTACCTCCCGCGCCGCCGCCGACGCCGTCGCCGCCGTCGCCGGCCCTCTCACCACCCCCGCTCAGCCCTGCCCCTTTCGCCCTCCCTACCCGCCCCCTCTCCCTTCCCGCGACGCCGCCGATGCCGTCGCCGCCGTCGCCACCGACGCCGCCGCCTCGTCGCGTCGTCGTCGCCGCCGCCGCCCCGGGCCGAAAGTCTGGTCTGTGGGGGAGGCCCCCATTCAAGTGGCGCATAGCCGGCCCCCGAGAATACACCCGACAGACTCTGCGTGCAAAGCGACTGCCTTGGACAAGCGTTCGCAACACAAGGCCGCCGCGCACTTTGCACCGCGAGCCCCCAGCAGCTGAGTCCGCTCAGTAATTTCTTCCAGCCCGCCTTGGACCCTGGAGGCCTCCCCGTGGAACCCTCTGTAGGCTTCTCGGGCGTCAGTTGGGGGCCCCCTGGGAACCCGTCAGAGGTCTTTGAAGCCATCTTGCGGGGGGCGGCCCTTGGAGTCTCCTCGCGCTCGCCCTCTGAGGCCCCTCTTGCGGCCCTGTTTTGTTCCCTCCTTCTGCGATGTCTGGCATCCTCTCCCCCCCCCCCCCCTCCTCCTCCACATCCTCCTCCTCCCCCTTCCTTTTTGTGCAAGAGCCATGGCACACGTGCCACTTGTTAATATAAGTAGTACTAGTATGCCTATTAGTGATATGAGTCTTAGTAGTGTGGTTAGTATCAATAATGCTGCTGGTATTAGTACTACCGTTATGAATATGTTTATCGGTGTTACAAATATTAGCATTATTCGCAAATGTATGTTTACTAGTACTAGTAGTAGTGCCATGACGGTTATTACACCACTCTTATTCGTATTAGTATGACTCTGGAAAATATTAAGTAATGATATTGACATTGCGTAGTATCAGTATTGTTGAAAATAATAGTAGTATTAGTCTTAGCATAATTTGTATTGGCAGCATCATCATCCTTGTCATCATCATTATTAGTGTCATTTTGAATACTGTTATTACTAAGTAGTACGAGTTTGCATGCTAGTACTAGTGTTATCAGTAGTATTACTGCTCGTATTATTTACACCGGTATATTTAGCCGTATTACTAGTAGTAGTAGTGATAATATTAGTATGGGAGGCATTACTAGTATTACTACTGTGAGTAAGATTAGTACCGTTCTTGAGAATAGTATTACAGTTGATGTTATTAGCAGCATGCGATTAGTATTCGCAAGATTGCTCTTATTACTAAACATATGACGAGTCGGAATCGTAGTAGTTTATCCGCTGTACGACTTGTATTAGCACGTTCAATGAAAAATAAGATTAGTAGGAACACCAGCATTACTATTGATCGTAATACGATTACTACGAATTACAAGTACTAATACTGTTAGTAGCATGTATAATGTTAAAAGTCTGATTACGATCAGATTCATTCGTAGTGTTGCTACTAAGATTCGTACGATTATTCGTATTAGTACTATGAATACGGATACCATTATACTATTAGTATTAATGGGATTCCTCCTTTCCTCCTCCTCCTCCTCCTCCTCCTTCTCGTCTTCCTGCTCCTCCTTCTCCTGCTCCTCCTTTTCCTCCGTTTCCTCCTCCTCCCTCATCCCTCCTCCCTCCTCCCTCCTCCCTCTTCTTCTTCTTCTGATCTCGAGCCAAGGTGCTGCCACCCACCCACAACTACACTGCTACTACCCTCCTCGATCCGTCCTCCTCCTCCTCCTCCTCATCCTCATCTTACTCCGCCTCCTCCGCCTCCTCCGCCTCCTCCTCTTGCTCCTCCTCCTCCTCCTCCTCCTCGTCTTCGTCCTCGTTTTCCTCCTTCTCCTCCTCCGCCTCCTCCTCCAACTCCAACCTTGACTCCATCTCAAACTTCAACTCCAACTCCAACTCCAACTCAAACGACAAGGTCTCCTCCTCCTCCGTCTCCACCTCTTCGCCGTCCTCGTCTTATCAATTAGTGTTCTTCTTAGTAGTAGTAGCATTGTCATTGTTATTATTCCCCTTCGCGCAATTATTCTTATCATTATTATTATTCGACCTCTTCTCAGTATCATCACGATGTTTCATTGCTTAGTAGTATAATTACGACTATGTTATTAGTAGTATCATTGTTAGCCGCAGTAGTAATAGTAGTGGTAGTGGTAGTGGTAGTGGTAGTGGTAGTGATAGT